GGAATACAAATAAAATTGTTATTATTATTATTATTATTATTATTATTACTACTATTTTCCATTTTAAAAAAATCAACCAACCAGCCCTTGACCTCCTTGACAATTTGAAGATTTGTAGGAACTGTATGTTTACCTGAAAGTTGGTGAATATCTCCTTCTCAACATTCGTAGAGAACAAGTGGCCCTGTAGAAGTGAGAGGAAGGAGATTTAGCAGTTATTTTTAATTGTAAATTTGTTGCTGTTGTTGTTGCTGTGTGTTTTCAAGTAATTTCCAATGGACGTTGACCCTAAGATGACACTCTAATGGGGTGTTCTTGGCAAGATGTGTTCAAAGAAGATGTTGACTCTTTAGTTTGGGTTGGGAAAAAGTGCTGCATTGGTTTTCCAACCTGCATGTATGGACAGTTGAAATTTCTTCAGGGAACACCATTATCTAGATTTTGACAGAAAATGGATCATGGATAATACACTGTAATAACCCATTTTGACTTCTGTTGAGCAATTATCCCCATGTTATGACATTCATTGTGCAATTACCCCTATGCAAGCAAAGTAGATCTATATTTTCCAGTCCTCGGTGCATATCATGGTTGACTTTTGTTCAATTGCATGTGTGAACCATGAATACTCTTTATGTTTCAATTGCCCTGTCTCATTAATGGAAGTTGCATGGGCGCCACATGTCATTATCTTTAGTTTGTAATCCTCTTTTATTTCTCCATCCCATATTTCAATCCTTTTTTTTTATTACAAGAAAATATGTGAAGCAGGAAAAGCCAGAACAGTTGTACAATACTGGTAGAGAAAGTCTCCTGTGTTGGCAAAGTGTACAATAGTTATTGTATAGGAGGATCTTTACTGACCTTGCTCTTATAGACTTATGCGCATGACTTCCAACCGTTTCATTTTACATCCATAAGATTTCCATGTTACTTTTGTTATAGTTACGTGTATATCCCACCTACATATCCATGAGCTCAGGATGCGGTATACTGCTCTCTTCTTCCCTTCTTCACTTCTTATGGCTGAAATTATTAATATTACAAAACTATAGTGTTCCAAATGTGTAACAACATTTCTCTAGAAACTGAAAATCTTTTCAAAAATATGCTGTGTCTTATAAAAATGCAAGTCCTCTTCTCATTGCAAAACACCAAGAATATAGGATTCTGATTTAGCTCTATTTACTATAAGGGCATTATCTTTTTCTGGAGAGGAATGATGGTATTAGGATTAATATCTTTTTTATCCTGTTGCCTCGTAAAAAAGAGTTCAGTTTATATATCCTTTTCCATAATCACACTAATTTGCATAAAAATACTATCTTTGTTTCCTTAAAGTTCTGGCTGTTTGGTCTGAGAGAGAAATCATAATCTCATATGTATTTCAATGTTATTCAGCAATGCAAACTGTTATGTTGCAAATAGGTTATAGCCTGAGGTGAGGAAGAAACAGCATGAACACCAGAATTGCAAATTTTTCACTTGGCTTTCTCTAAATAGTATACACGACAATGTTGGAAGAGGAGGAGATGAAGAACAAAGAAAAAATGTTCTGGAAAAGCATGATAACTGTTTTTCTCAGTGTACTGCTGTTTGCTGTTTGTGTGGCAAGTGTATGTGTGTTATTACAGTTGTGCAACAGCAATTCTTAACAACTGTAAGTTGCAGTGTCATGAACTGCAAAATTCTGTAGCATATAGTACAGGTTAAGTATCCCTTAACCAAAATGCTTGGGACCAGAAGTGTTTTGGATTTCATTTTTAAGATTATTTCTGAATGCCTATATTTTCATTCACATACATAATGAGATATCATGGAAATGGGACCCAAATTGAAACACAAATTCATTTGTGTTTCATATACAGGCAGTCCCCAAGTTACAAACGTTGGATTTACGTTAAGAACGGGTGTGAGAAAACAGGAAGTGAGAGAAATCTATCCCTTGGAAGGAAAATTCACTCCTGAAAGAGTTATCACGGAGAAAAGGTGGCTCCACTGAAGCTTTACCACCAATCCTTGTTTCCACAACAAGCCCAATTTTTCAAACTCCCATTATAACAGGGACAGAAAGTGAGGTGAAATCTTCGGAACCAGGAACCAGGCACCAAAACAAACAACGCACACACATTTGGCTGGAGTTAACTTTTAAAAAATATACCTGTTCCAACTAACATACAAATTCAGTTTAAGAAAATACTCACAGAACCTATCCTGTTCATAACTTGGAGACTTCCAGTATGGTGATCAGATCATGATATGAATAAACATAACAGTTTAAATAATTCACCAGTAAGGCCTTTTCGCGAACCACCATGAGAATTTGGGGGGGGGGTGAAGCCCCTCAAGACCCCCCCCCCCCCCCCGGCTACATGCCCGGCTGTACATCAAACCATCAGCAACAAAAAGGGAGGTTGTCTCTCTACATTTGTTGTTTTGCATTATTCATGAATTTGATTAAAATGTTTACTCTAAGAATCTATAGGTCCACCAGTATGACTTCTGTGGTCAACTTTCTCCAGTCATGCTGGAGGACCTAGAAAATTCTACAGAGAATGCCTTCCTAGTAATCTCAAGATCCTTCAGACAAATTCTATGGCCAGCTTCCAGCAGAAGTTGACCTCAGAGTTATGCTGGAAAACTCAGTAATTCCCCGAGAGATGTTCTCTCAGTAAAAATTCTTTATTTATGATTGATCACTTTCATGGCAGTCCTGTGTCCCTAATCCAAGCAAATGTGGATGGATGGTTGTATCTATATCTCGACCACTATTGTTGACAATTTTGGATTTTGGAATAATTTGGAATTCAGAATTATGGATACAGGATGTTCAACCTTTATTTTCTCATTGAAGTATCCTTGTTTGTGGTTCCTGCTGGCAAATCTCTTAATTTGAGATGATTTCACTAACTTGTGTGTTTTACCCCCAAAAGAATATTTGCACAAGTAGGCTAACTTCTTTTTCATCTTTCTCAGCACTAGTATTTTGTAGTTCTGCTTTTCTTGAAATGACTCACCAGCTGATTTTTTCATTAATAAACATGATGCCAAGAAATAGGAGCCCTCAGTGGTGCAGTGGGTTAAATCCCTGTGCCGGCAGGACTGAAGACCGACAGGTTGCAGGTTCGAATCTGGGGAGAGTATGGATGAGCTCCCTCTGTCAGCTCCAGCTCCTCATGCGGGGACATGAGAGAAGCCTCCCACAAGGATGATAAAACATCAAAACATCAGTCCTTGCAGATGGCCAATTCTCTCACACCAGAAGTGACTTGCAGTTTTTCAAGTCACTCCTGACATGACAAAAAAATGATGTCAAAATACATTTTCCAGTATGAGAATATTTGCAAATATATTATAAGACACTGCTACTCAAAGTGGTGGTCCATGGTGGAAGTCTGTGAACCATTATCTGCCAGTCTGTAGCCTGTTTCCAGGAAAGAAAGTAGTAATTGTAGCCAGTGGGCACAAATGTGGTACCGAGCCCTGGCAATTAGGAACAAAATACTGGTCTCCACGGGTTCCATCGTGTAAAATCATATCGTCTCTGGCTACAGGAGACTTAGTCAGATGCTTCTTTAAACATGGCTGCTACCTGCAAAGCATGGAAGAGTTATGCAAAGTGGCATAGTGGGGTTTAATATGATGTAGGAAGGCTCAGTGTAGCACAGATTTCCAATTAGATAATTACACTATGAATTGTTCTGTTACTTGTTTTAAAAATGCTGTTTTCTACACAAACCAGCCACATGCAACATTTCCACAGAATAAGTCTACAACAACTGTAATGTTTTCTGTGTTAGCAACAGCATCTTCTATGCAGAAAATAATATTTGTCTGCAAAACAGATGATGCTGTTTAATGTGCAGAAAATTCTGTTTTCTGTGGACAACAATCACATAGAAATTTAGGGCTGAAGAAGTTCTGAATTACAAATAGTCTTCAAAAGCTGTACATTTTTCAAATACTTTCTCACAGCAAGATGACAATCACTAGAATGACTTTTTGAGCTTTTGAGAAGAAAATTAGTGTAGAATACATGTGCTGGGTCATGACTGCTTGCAATCAAAGTTAAAGCCATTGGATGTTCTGATCATGGACCTCTTTCAGCATATCTAGTTTGGCTCTCTGAGCGTAATGAATTTAAGATGTTTTACTTTTTGTAAAAAGGAGAAGAAAGGAATTGTATTATATTAATCAGATATTTTGTTAGTTACAGTGGAATCTCAACTTAAGAACATCCCAACATAAGAGTGTTTTGAGTTAAGAGCCATCACTTTGCTTGGTTTTGCTTTGACATACAAGCAGGGTTTTGAGTTAGAAAATAGCACCACAGGGAGCAGTAGCGCGAGAGTACAAGGCTTTAGGGCTTCAAGGGAGCAGCCTCTGTGCCTTATGTTCTTGTGCACTTTGGGAGATTGCTGCCTGATTTGCTCTTGTCCGTTTCGAGGAAATTTGGGTTGATTGTAGTTTTTATTACTGGTATGTTTGTCTTCATGAGAGAGAGGGAAACAGAGCAAGAAAGAGGGAGGGAGACTGGAATGAGTATAGTATGAAGAAAATGATGCTTTCGCCTCTTCACTTTGTGCTTTGAGCTTTCCTGCCATAACTTAGTGCTTCTACCATTGTGCGACAACTTGTGCTTCTACCATTTTAAAGTTCATCTTTTTTATTGTTCTATGTGAATGTGCATTTATACATTATTTGTAAAGTATATGTTCTTATTTAAAAACACGTAACAAAATGTGTGTGTGTGCTTTGGGGGTGAACTGATTAATAGCATTTCAATAGGAGGATTGCTTTGAGATAAGAGTAATTTGAGTTAAGAGCTTACTCATGGAACGAGTTAAACTCTTAACTCAAGATATCACAATATTTGGTTTATATACAGTCTTTCTTTAAGCACACAATTCATGGGAGCTTATGAATTAAAACAAAGTACAGCTTACAAAAATCCCCAAACCCTTAATTATATCAATATTAACAATATTCTCTTTTCTCAGGTTTTGTGAATGATTCCATTGCCAAATGCATTGTGGCTTTACGCTTGACGGTAATAGTAAAAGTCAGCACGTGTTTGCCCGGGGGAACTGAATCAGATGACCTTCAATGTTCAGGGAAAGGAAAATGCATCACAAAACCATCTGAGGTAAGAAGAAACCCTTGTGTTTGCAGTTGAGTGGTTCTTTGTTCTGTCTTGGCCATGTGAAACTCAAAGGGAAACAGGAGTGAGACACTAGCTGACAGGCAGCAGGTAGTGAATGTCTTTGTGGGAGCCACTGAAAGTCAGCCACAGACAGTAGATATTGGAGAAAATCAGCTGTTCTCTGCAGGATTTTTGACAAGTCTGACCTTGGCCAGAGCTAAACTGAACTTCCTCTGATGGTGCAGGCTCTGAAATTAAAATTAGGCTCCACCTCTCACTAGTGCAGTGTTTCTCAACCTTCCTAATGCCGCGACCCCTTAATACAGTTCCTAAAGTTGTGGTGTCTCCCAACCAGAAAACTATTATTGTTGCTACTTCATAACTGTAATTTTGCTACTGTTGTGAATCTTAATGTAAATATCTGATATGCAGGATGGATTTTCATTCACTGGACCAAATTTGAAACCAATACTCAATATGCCCAAATCTTAATACTGGTGGAGTATGGGGAAAATACACCTTGACATTTGGGAGTGGTAGTTGCTGGAATTTATAGTTCACCTACAATCAAAGGGCATTCTGAACCCCACCAATGATAGAATTGGACCAAACTTCCTACACAGAACCCCCATGCTTTGAAGGGACTCGCTGGCACGAGCCTCCCTCCAGCCTTACATGCTCTCTCTTGCTCACACATGCGCCAAGCATGCCTGCTCTCCCCTCCCCACTTGGAGTCTCAGAAACAGTCCTCCCCTTGGCTGAGAAGCTGGCCAATCACAGTGGAGGAGGGCTTTTGGTGGGAGGATTTGCCATCTGTTTCCAAAAAGGAAGAGAAGGACAGGTAAATAGATTGTCATCCTTCTCTGACAAAGGCATTCCTAAGACCATCAGAAATATATGTTTTCTGATGGTCTTTGGTGACCCCTCTGAAACCCCCTTACGACCCCCCCCCCGGGGTCCCGACCCCCAGGTTGAGAAACGCTGCACTAGTGGGAAGTGCCATGTTGGTGGTACTGCTCCTGGAATGTAGGGTTCCTTTGATGCTTTGTAATGCCTTGGATGATTCTCAGTAGCATCTCAGTAAAGATGACTTAATCGAACGTAGGAACTCGTATAGTTGGAATGTTTATTCAAAAGTTTTACATGCCTGATATGAAAGAACTGACTATGAGTTGCAGCATTATGTGTTACTCTCTAATAACCTCCTGGTTTCTTGTGCAATTGCATAATGTTTTGATGTTTGGGCTAAGCCACAGCACCATTTCTGAGTTGTTGCATGATTTGCTTATGATGTTTCCCTGTTTTACCTGATTTTTTTAAAAAACAACGGTTAAACTTTAAAAAACAGGAAAAATAAGGAAGGAAGCAAATAAACTGGTAATTAAAACTAATCCACAGTTGGAGTAAAAAGGACTGAGGCAATTTATAGAGGGTATTCAAGAATCAATTAATAGGCTAGTCACCTTGAATCCCCTGCTTGCTCTCATCAAGACAAAATAAAACCTGCTGAGGAATTTTTAATCCTCATTTCTGGTGACCTTTGCTGAACAGGATGTACTTTTGTGTTAACATAATAAAGTACATTGCTGGATAGCCTATCGTCCAGGTATTATGGTGGCCCTCCATTTTTTTCTGGTTCCAGCTGACTCGGAAAATACTGTGTGAAACAAATTGTCCTCAATTAGAGGTGGCTATTTTTGTAAGTAATATGTCAGCAATTATATTGCAGTATTCATTGAAAAATGCTTTATTAATTTGAAATCTGCAAGTGTGGTCTACATCTTTCAAATGCTTGTAAGGCATTTTTTGAAGGATTCTACAAGTAAAAGGTCAGAAGCAAAAAAAAGTATAAGAATCTTTTCTATAGTTTTATGTAAACCAATTGAGATAGTTACAGACCGTGTTTATGTTTTCTGAGACATAAGATTCAGATTGTTCACTGGTCTTAGGCCCCAACTAGGTTGCCATAAAATGTAGATTGAACTACATTGAACTGGATTATGTGAGTCTACACTGCCATACAATCCAGTTCAATTTACATTATAGTGGCAGTTTAAATGGGACTTAAATCCTAAATGTGCATCTGATTTCATTATTGTTAAACATCCTTATTCTAAATTTCACTCTCTTATTTTAAAAACTTTGAGAGAAATCTTAATATCAGAGAAACTGACTAGAAATGATTAAGAGCACGCAGAAGTATTCCTGTTGGAAAACGTGACATACTTTAGTGGATCTTTCTAAGGACAAAAAGTCTGTGTCCTGTCTACCCAGTTACCAACCAAAGGATGTAGTTGAGAAGGAAGCAAGTCTAACTGCTTTTATTTTATTTATTTATTTATTTATTTATTTATTTATTATTTAAACTTATATGCCGCCACTCCCCTGGGGCTCGGAGCGGCTTACAAGAATAGCTAAAATCTAACAAAGTTTAAAAGCAATTTAAAACAATTTAAAAACAACAGTATCAAACATTAAAAGCCTGTCGGAACAGGTATGTCTTACATGCCCTGCGGAAAGCTGGTAAGTCCCGCAGGGCACGAACTTCAGGTGGCAGAGCATTCCAGACTGATGGCGCCACTGCTGTGAAGGCTCTGCGTCTGGTTGCCGTTAGACGCAAGGTCTTGACACTGGGGACTTCCAATAGATCTTGGTCCTCAGAACGGAGGGATCTCTGGGGTTGGTAGGGGGTGAGACGATCCTCAGATACATTGGCCCCAGACCATGCAAGGCCTTAAAGGTGAGTACCATCACTTTGAAAGTGATCCGGTGCTCAATTGGTAACCAATGCAGCTGTAGTAAGATTGGTGTTATGTGGCATCTCATCGGAATTCCCGCAAGAAGCCGAGCAGCTGCATTTTGTACCAACTTGAGCTTCCGGATCACCGACAGAGGGAGGCCAATGTAGAGGGCGTTACAGTAGTCCAGTCTTGAGATGACCGTGGCCTGGATCACCGTAGCTAGGTCGTCCCTGGACAGGTAGGGGGCCAGCCGTCTAGCCTGCCAGGTGAAAGAAGGCGGTTCTGCTCACGGCGGAGACCTGGGCCTCCATTGTCAGCAGAGGGTCCAAAAGGACTCCCAGACTCTTTACCAATGATGACGGGCGTAACGCCTCGCCATCCAGGGTGGGCAGATGGATGTCCCCACTGCCCGGTCCACCCAGCCATAGGATCTCCGTCTTTGCTGGATTCACCCTCAACCTGCTGGCACGCAGCCATCCAGTAACGGCCTCGAGGCACTGATGGAAACAATCGGGTACAGAGTCCGGTCGGCCTTCCATCTTCAGCACCAGCTGAGTGTCATCGGCGTACTGATAACACTCAAGCCCAAAACCTCGAACCAGCTGAGCAAGTGGTCGCATATAGATGTTAAACAACAGAGGGGAGAGAATGGCCCCCTGAGGAACCCCACAAGATAGAGGGGACCTCTCAGAGACCAGGCCTCCCCTCTCCACTCGCTGTCCACGGTTGTGAAGAAAGGAGGACAGCCAGTTTAAAGCTGTCCCCCTGATTCCAGCAACAGCAAGGCGGTGGGTCAAGAGATTGTGGTCGACTGTGTCAAATGCTGCTGTGAGATCCAATAGCACAAGCAGCTCTGACCCGCCCTGGTCAAGCTGGCATCGACATGTTTTGTTAAACATCAACATCAACATGTTTTGTTAAACATGTAAAGCAGATTTGCATACAAATTACTTTGTGCAATTTTTGCATGAATTTTAAAGGATTCTGTTAAGTTTTCATGGTGTGTGAGAGGGCTTTGGGAGAAACCACCGTGTTTTGCAATCATAGAGAGGTTAGGTGAAAATTTGGTCCAGAAAAAGTGTTTCAAATTTTTTAAGGGACATGTTAGCTTCTGTTTTTTTCTGTGGCGTTTTGGGGTGGAAGGGCCGAAAGTCACTTTTGTCTCCTTTGCAGTTTCCCACTCCTATACCAGAGGGTAACATGGGAATTGTTTCCACTTTGTCTTCCATCCTTATATGATTCTTACCTTCCTTATCTTTAATGGATGTTATTAATTTTTCCTCTTTCTAACATGTGCTCCTTTGGCAAATAATTTGTAGTTTTTATTATTGTATTCAAAGTATTCTCTATTTAAAAATATCAAGTCTCTTTGAGCTTTAAGTGCAATGAGGCAATAATAGAATGGTGTCCTGAGATGGTTTTTAAGCACCTGCTTTTGAAGTGAATATATGTGATTTTAATGTTTGTATATATTTATGGTTTTATGTCCCAGCATTGAATGTTTGCCGTATATATGTTGCGCTCCACCCTGAGTCTCCTGCAGGGTGAGAAGGGCAGAATATAATTTTTTAAATAAATAAATAAATAAATGCAGGTGTGCAAAGGTTGTTAGCTCTAACCATTCTTTCACTGGTGGAGATGAACTCCCAACAGTGTAGGATGTCTATGTTCACCCTAAGGTTACAGCTATGACCATAGAATGTTGTCTGGGTGAAAATCTTCCATGGGGAATAGCTGGTATTACCTCGTAGAAAAGGACATTTTGTAGATAAGACAGAAACAGAATTGATATTGCTATATAGTGAACCCAAAAGCTTTTCATTCTCTGCGAATTGGAGCTACTTCTGCACTGGTCTAGAGTTAGTATAATTTCCCTCACCATTTATAACCAATAAGGTGTAATAATACTAGTTTTGAATAGATATATAAATGTAGGACACGGTAGATGGACAACACCTCCTATGCACACACCTCCCACTTTCACCAGTGCAAGTGTGAACTAACTGAGCTCTGAAAGTGGTGGATTACCCACCACTTTGCACCCTCACCCTTTTAGGACTACACTGCTATTTTTCACAGATATCAAGTTTCACAGATATCAAGTTTTGTTCATAGAACAAAATAGATAATGTTAGATTTCTAACATGATACGACATATTGCATCAAGGATAAAGCAGACCTTTAGGTATTGGAAAAAAATTCTTGGAATGAATATAAAATCTATTATGCTCTAAACAGAGGGAAAGAAAAGATGTATGTTCC